TGTCTATGAAAAATATTAACAGAGAGCATCACCCAACATGAGTTGACCTTATTACAAAAAGCTCATATAATAATTGGAATATTTTGGATCTTGGGAGGAATAGATACTAGAATTGGAGAATATCTTCTATTTTTCTCATTTTTACATCCATTACAAACAGCAACTTGTTTTATGTTTTTATTGTTTTCTTTTACAAATGGATCAATATTAGGAAACATTAATGTTAAATTATATATTTCATTTTCATCATAGTGTATCCATTTAGTATTTTATTTCATCATTAGGATTGAACAGTGAGCACAAGGAATATTTGGATATTCAAATAAGATTTTGTTTCAAATTCTTGCAAGAGATGGTGTAAATCAAGTGGTGGAGACCATGTGTCATCTCATACATATAGAAGCACTTTACCTAATGAGGTTCCAAAACCATATGATTTAGTTGTTCCAAATGATTCATTTCCAACAGATATACATGATGAAGATGCAAACTACAGCCATCTGATGGCAGGTTCAATATTAAAAGACAATGTTTCCTATCCAATATTATTTGGTGATCCAAATCTGGAAGCTCTCATGTTTCCTGACATATTTCCAAATGGATGTGGCTATACATGCAGCCCAAAGTATTTTGACAATGTCATAAAGGGGGTTACACATGTAGTAAAGGGGTGTTACACTTATGTTTGTAATAGTGAACTAGGTGTAACCCATCAGCTTTGCTGACGGTTTACATCTAGAGCACGCTATAAATAATATTGTAAATTATTTTTTTATTCAAAATTATTTAATACTGTAAATTCATAGCATTAATAAGTTTGGTTGCATTTATTACAATTATGTATAGATTTAAAAAAATAACAGTTTTGATTGACATAATTTTGTTAAAATTTGATTTCATGACTACAAAATGTCACATTATCAAAGTTAGAGAATAATCAAAAACTAATTATTTTATTGTGGAATTTTATTGTATCACAATTTAAAAATCATTTACATGTGGTAGTCTAAAAGTTATGCATCACAACATATTTATTTAAGTGCTTGTGGTAGTCTAAACATAACCCAACGATACAATAATAGATAGATTGCATGTGGTGGTCTAAAATGCCATGCATCACAACATATTTATTTGCGTTATTGAACAATTCAAAAAAATTATTTATGTGTGCAGCCTAAACATTACGTTTATTTATGCGTGCGTGCCATTCTAAACATTAGGACACGTGAACGCAACGTTTTTAATATAATAGATGCCATAATTAATTTCTACTTTCTACCATCAAAATTGGAATAATTTTGACCATCAAAATCACCAAATCAATTTGGGCTGCATGTATAGCCCAAACTACTTTTGTTATTAGCTGAATTGGGCAAAATTATTTTAAAGTTGTTTAAGTAAAACATGTTGATTCATATAGTTTTTAATGTTCATGCTTATAAAAAATCGCGGAAAAACTAAATATATTAATATCAAATGTTGCACAATCAACATAATAAACCAATATAAATATGTTAAGAAGCCCAAATTGCCCAAACTAGTTTGGGCTTTGAGAAAACAGTTTGGACCAGAAACCTTAGTCAAAACCACTATGAGTAATTTAAAAGATGAAGACTTTGCCAAAGCAGCAACAGAATATAAAAACAATATTTCAGAGAATGAGGAAAAGTTTGATGGTAAATCTATTTGATTATAAATAGCAGGTATAACT